AAATGGGGTAAGTTGGCAGTGCCTAAACACATATTCCTTATGTAATCATATTTATTTTTCTAGGAATATCTGACATCCCACAAGAAGCCCTGGATATATCATCATTTATTTTATTTATGGACAAGCTCTTTGATAGCTGTAACAGCCATACAAAAATGGCCTCAAAAAGCAAACCGATAAAAGGATCCTTAAAGATGAATTCAGATCATGAAACATTTTGGCTACAAAGCATTGATGTTTTAAGGACCATGAAGTTTTACGATGAAAAGAACAAAAAGTTTGTTATAGTTCCTTCTATAAAAAATTTAATTTTTACATTACAAGGTTTCATAAATTTAAAAAAGAAAGTTCTTTCTAAATTACCGAATGCATACATATGTTTAAGAGATTTGAATCAGGACTGTTTAGAAAATTTTTTCTCGTTAATTCGCAGTCACGGTATAAGAAATACTAATCCTTCAGTTTGTCATTTTCAAAAATCATTTAAGTCATTGATTATAAATAATTTTATGGCGTCACATTCGCCACATTCCAATTGTGAAGATGACAAATCTGAAGGATCATTAAGTAATTTTAAATCTTTTTTATTGGGTGAAACTGAACATGATGTATCTGTGATTTCAGAATTAAATAATGAAAATATACAAATATTACCGCCCTCGTTATTAACTAGGAAGACAAAAATATCCCGTTGTATTTTAAGATACATATCGGGATATTTAGTCAGAAAATTGAAAAAACATACATCATGTCCAATTTGCTTACATGTTATAAGCGGCAATGTGTCAGACGAGGACATTGATTTTATTATTGCAAGAAGATATGAACAGTCATGTCTACAAATTCCTTCAAAATTATTTACATATACTGTGGCACAAATGTTGAGCCACATATTTTATGCTTACCAAGGGTTTGTAATAGTAAAATATATCATTGGTATTACATAATACAATTAAAAACATTCATACAAAATCTTTATGCTGTAATCAACATCCTGAATTTGCCAAAAAAAAATTACACAATTAACTATCAAATGTTGTATTTATTTTTGGGGTCGAAAAGTTAACCTAATAGCGACTGGCAAAGACACTAAAATTTCAGAAAGCTTTACATAAAGTTTCTGATTTAAAATTAGTTGATCAATAAAATTAATGGCCCTTAACAAATTTACAAAAAAAACAAAATAGGTACAGAAAACTTAGAAAATGATTCTCCGATAATTGTATTATGTACTAAAAATAAAATTTCTAAATTGTATTTTTGTAAATACTGGTTATTTATGTATAAAAATGCAGAAACTCGTTTCAAGGTCAGCCACCGGATCCACACCATTACTAAAATATATTACACAGTTGTTAAGTTTATTTCCTTCCTTATGTTTTGTTTGTTGACATATAAATATGCTAACGCATTATTTCATACAATTTTGATCTATTTATTAATAGGAACAATGTATGAATTAATGAATTAGCTTATTTTATATGTCAACAAATAAGCTAAACTTTAAAATTCAGAAAATTTTTAATATTCGTTAATTTGAATGTGCCGCTAGAACACTTTAGTTCCGAGCCCATCCATTGGCGGCGCTACATGCAACAATTATTCAAATTGATTATGGTTAGATGTCACTCTATTTGATGTTACTTTATGGGTACCAAGCAACTGACGACTTTTGATTTTCTAACGGAACTGCTCTGGTCTACAGGAGTGGGAAAAGCAGCACACAGTGGGGACAACGGTGCGCGCCGTATCCCCGCGAGTATCGATAGATACGAACCAAGACTCTACTACTTGCTTTTAACAAATTAATTATTTTACAAATAATTTGATAATTAAAAGCTAATTAATTTAATCACTACAAATTAATTGTCACATAAATTAAGTAACATCGTTACAAGGTGTGTGTAATATTCTTATAGGTTCTCCTTTCTACTTTTTTAGACGAAACTTAAACACATCTTGGTATTAAGGCACGGCGAACTCTTCGAAATATTTCAAAGTGCTAATGAAAAGAATATTTACAATAAATATGTTGAGCTTCAGTTCAAAATATCTGAAATGACGGGTTTAAGAATTTGTCCAAAGAAAGTAAAGTCAACCTTTACAGATTTTTTAGTAGTTTTAAACCAAACCAAACCAAACCAAGATGGGAATCAGCTCAAAGAATTAGAAGTAGATTTGTAGAAAACAATACCTCTTGGCTCTTTGTAAAATTAAGCTTTACAAAGAAACCTGGTAATAAGGGTAGGAAACAAACCGAATTTGAACAATGTAGTGTTGTAGTTCTTCTTAAGAATTAGCTTATGCAGCCCAGATGCGATATAGACAAGAAGGTAAAACAAGTGTATCTAAATTAATAAAAAATTCAAGAGAAGATCCAGCAAAAGCAAAATTATACTGTGACGCATTAAAAGAGAAAGAATCTTCATATCGGAAACTAAGTTCAGACTGGCATTCTTGTTTCATTGTTATTAAAGCTTTGTTAAAAGCTGTAATTATGTAAGTTAGTACGTTAATACTTGTACTTAAATGCTAACTATTCAAGGGAGAATATTTCTTTGAATTTTTAAAACATTTTACAACACCGCAATTTCTTAAGCTTGTAACGTTTTTAGTTCGTTACATGTCTTTTTTATATATAATATATGATGTCTGGCCTATCATCACCGGATTCCCTCTCGTTCAGGCCGGATATTTTATTTGACGCGCTTCGCGTAATTTTTACGTTCTCTAGTCAGCAACCCTGCTATCGTTTCACTGTTCTGTGGAGCGCTGTCAACATCGCTTCAAGGCGCCTCTCCGTGCTTAACTTCACTTGGCTTTGACCGTCCTACTGTCACCATCAAAAATCCTTGCTTCGAGAAACTGCAATTATAAAAATCTTGCTGTATAATTTGAATCAGCTGCTATTTCGATGTTACAGGTAAAAATGAGATATTATCTTTTTTGATTCGTTATTATTACTGCGTATTTTTAGGGTAGAGTTACGGATGCCCCAACCTAACTTGTATTTGTATTTTGCTGGCACGTTGGCGTCCCTTTTCTTTTGTCCTCCAGAATGTCACATGGAAGAAAGGACAGGTTCTTTATTATTTAGTGAGCTCTCGGAAGTAATTCGACGTAGGTTCATTTTGTTTATTAGACCTTGTTTGATTTTAAACAAGAGTTTCGTATTTTTAGGGTCTTATGGACGGACTGTGTCCAAGGTTATGGTCCAAGTTACGGACATTATCCAAGGTCCTAGTAGTGTTCCAAGGTACGGGTAGTGTCCCCATATTGTCACAGTATGGATACAGCGTAAGCCCCATGCTGCTTTGCTCCCATTTCTAAGCCTAGTCAGTAGCTACGGCTGTATTGATTCATAGTGCCCTCATTCTGGCCCCTTTTGTTGTTTTGGCCAACAGGATCGCCGACAGACAGTACAGAGGAAATTTGAGGAACAAAGGAACAAAATGGACGAAATGTTGGTCGAAATTAAAAAACTGAGAGATGAAAAGACATTTCTGCAGCAAAGAGTAAATGTGTTGGAAGGCAACACAATAGAACAAAAGGAAAAAGAAAATAATTTGGTCGTAGTGGGTACACCGAAACAAAACAATGAGCCTAGAATATCAATTGAAAAAGTATTTCAAACTATGAAAGTTGAGCTAACTGAAGAAGACATTGTGGATGTATACCCAATCAACAAAAACGAAAATGCACCGATAATTGTAAAATTTAAAACTTAAACAAAAAATTATAAAAAGAATAAGGGAATTAAAAGGAATTAAAATAAGTGAATGTGGCTTGGATGGAGGCAGAAAAAATATATATTTAAATGATGATTTGACACAGAAGAACCAGATACTATTTAAAAAAGTGAGGGAGTTTAAAAAGGCAAAGCAATATAAATCAGTGTTTGCCTCAAATGGCAGGATTTAACTAAAAAGGAACGATGAAACCCGTTGAAAGTAATTTGCTTAAGTATTGATAATTTCGAAAATTTGTAAATATGTATAAATTAAATAAGAAAAAGATGTAAAACTGTATATAGAAATGGCGACCATCTATGGAGATTTGAATATATTGTACATAAATATTAGAAGTATAAGAAATAAACTCTGTGATCTAAAATATATAATAAGCGAATATCATTACACTATACATATTATCATACTTACAGAAACATGGATCTATACAAATGAACAGGAATTATTCAATTTTCCAGGATACTTTGCCGTGCATGACTGTAGAGATTCTCGAGGTGGAGGAACAACAATATATATCAAAATAGGAATAGACTTCGTACAGAATAAAATACCAGATTTCAACTTACAAGACTGCAATGTAGTGTCTGTCTATTAAGTTAAAGAAAAAATTACAGTATATGCAATATATCGAGTTCCACAAAACAAATGTGATATGTTTATAAAAGAAATAGACAAAGTCCTTGAAAAACAAAAAAGATGTGTATTTTTGTAGGTGATATAAACTTAGACTTACTGAAGCACTCACAAGCAAATGAAGACTATAAAAACATGGTAAAAGCAAATGGATACCAGTTTCGGAATATTATTACGTTAGAAAATGCAACAAGAACCACAAAAACTACAGCGTCTATTATAGATCACATTATAACAAATAACAATTTGATATGTAAGATGGATTTGGTAGATCACCATATATTAGATCACATAATAATTACTACGTTTTCATGGAGTATTGAAATCGTTTTGAAAATGGTTTTGGTATTGAAACCTCCATGAAAACAGGTATTCAAAACGTTTTGAGCTTCAAGATCGATTCGCCTTTTTCTGGGATCGGATCGAGATCGAAATATCGAAAATGTCATGAAAACGCGAATTTTAATCGGATCGAATTGAGACATGCGCAACGCGCAAAGCATGTCAAAATTTCTTTCACTTTCTACATAACCTATAACTATGCCTATAACTTTCCTAGCGTAGTAGAAATTTCGAAATTAGTTTCAGTTTGATTTTTTTTGTCGCTAACCGTTTTAATTTCCGCAAAGAATACTTGTTAATAAAATTATGGCATTAAATCCAGAGAGGTTAAATCTAACTCGGAATATCTGGACAAACAGAGAAATCGTATGTATGCTGGAAATATTCCGGGAGGAAAAAATCTTGGATTTGTTCGACGGGAAAAGGTACAAAAACACAGAGATTTATAAATTAGTTGAAAAAAAAATGGTTGAGAAGGGGTTTCTAAACAAATCTGCCGACCAGATAAAAAATAAGTGGAAGGCTTTAAAAACCCAGTACAACAACTGTGTGAAAAACAATTCCCGCAGTGGAATGGATAGAAGTGAATGCGAATATTTCACTTTATTAGAGGATATATTAGGGATCCGTCCTTCTTCAAGTTTAGGGGGGATCGATAGTGACATCATTGAAGTCGAAGAAAATGTATCAAATGAGGAGTTAGGCGGCTATCTGCAGAGTCCCGTCAGCTCACTGAGGTCCGAGAGCAGATCGGCAGAACACCCAGAGCCACAGCCAGGGACATCAAGAACACCAATTAGAACCTCCAGATCTGCCCAGAGCAAGTATGATGATTTATTTTTTCATTAAAACAAATGTGCCTAATGACAGAATTTTTTAAGAATCAGGCAGAATCGCAGGAAAGAGCAGCAAGAGCCCGCTCAGAAGACTTAAAGAATATGCTGGGAACATTTTCAAAAATGATTGAAAACGTTATTCAATTCTCCAGCATGCCCTTTAACCCATACTTTGTTCAAACTGTGCCTCGACAACCAAAAAGATCAGTTCCTGAAGATAGTTCTAGTGATGAAGAGAGCTCAGAGAAACTTGTTAAAAAATCAAAAATATAATTTTTTTTATCGAGAATGTTTTATTATATAGTTTAATTTTTTAAATAAACCACAATTCAGTAATAAATGTTATTTTATTCATTCATCCTAGAAATGAGAATGTGAAATAAATATGATATTTTTGTACTGTTTTTTTAATTATAACAATAAATATTTTACAAAGCTTAAGTTACACCAATCTTGATTTTCTCATTGGAAATACAAGCATATATTGCTTGAGAATATCCCGTACTTGACCTCCTTCAAGGTTGTCATGTTCCCTTGTTATAGTTCTTGATGGTTGAGGAAACATTAATTCAGCTTCCTCAATAGCTTCAATCCAGTTTTGTACAAATTGGTCTTTGTTTGTTTCAATAATATTATGTAATATTTAACAAGTATATACAACTTTCGGTGTAAATTCATAATTAATATCAATGCGTTTCAATAAACAACAGAAACGTGCCTTTAATCTTCCAAATGCATTTTCGACGACAACCTTTCCACGACTTAAATATACATTAAATGACTCTTCTTCCTGAGTAATTACTCCTTTATATGGTTTAATTAACCACGGTAGTAAAGGATAGGCTGGATCCCCTAGTATAAAACATGATATAATTTTTTCTTGGATCCTTTGAGTCACATTTGGAATAAAATGTTTAACATATTTGTATAAATTCGAGTCTTTTAATACTTTAGCATCATGTGTACTGCCTGGATGTTTGCATGTCGCATATCGGAATCTAAAAATAGTAATGAACTTTAGAATTACTATTAAATTTTATATTACTAAATAATTGTTGTTAACTACCTACCTATACTTGTTATCCACAACGGCAAGTAAATTAAAGGATGTCCATCCTTTTCGATTTAAAAAATCACTGTATCCAATTTTTGGTGGTAATATAGGTATATGTGTTCCATCAATAGCACCTATTATGCCAGGAATCCCACATATATTTTCAAAACCATTTTTAATTTCTTCAGCTTCGATTGCATTAGGGAATTTTAAATATTCATTTTTAAATTCTGTAATCACAGCTTCACAAAATTTGTACAAACATTTATATACTACACATTTGTTGGTACCAAACTGATTTGCAATCAATCTATATTCCCCACAAGATGCTAATTTGTATAAGGCAATGGCACACTTTTTTTCAAGTGTAAGAGGTTCCCGGACACAGTTAGGTGCAGCAGACAGGTACGGTTTAAGCCGGGTGCATAAAAAGTTAAATGTAGTTTTGCTGACTCTAAAATTGTTTAAAAAATCTTCCTCGGTAAAATGTTTTTTACAATTTATTATGATTTTTCTCTAGTACGCCAAAATGTAATAAAGAAGCTTTTGAGGGACATTTAGTCTTTTCTTTGAAAATACAAGATATATTGTTACACAATATTATCCCACCAGTTTCTTTTCTCTAGTTTTTCGCCACCACCTTCTTTATTGTATTTTGCTTTTCTAATATATTTATTCTTGCTTCTTCTGAAATTCAAAATATGTTCTAAATTTGCATGAAAATGCAGCAGTTTCTCTTTGGCTCTCATATTAGCCGCTTCCTCCTCTAAATATATGTGCGAAACACATATCATATGTACCGTTAACAATATAATTTTCAGTAAAACAGACATAATGTTTTTAATAGCCAATGTACAACAAAAATAAACCAAAAACCAAATTACTAACTTAAAAGAAATGGAGACATAACCACACTCTTAACGGGGTTTGATAGATATCATATGATTATAAACTGTCATATTATTCCGTCAATAGTGTCAGTTCAAATCTATTTCAATACGATTTCGATCCAACAGATTCAATTCAGTTTTCTCTTCGTATGAAAACGCGGAAGGGGATTGGATTCAAATCGATTTCAATACTCCATGAAAACGTAGTAAATGTAACGTTTTTAGTTCGTTACATGTCTTTTTTATATATAATATATGATGTCTGGGCCTATCATCACCGGATTCCCTCTCGTTCAGGCCGGATAGTTTATTTGACGCGTAATTTTTACGTTCCCTAGTCGCCAACCCTGTTATCGTTCGACACAACCCTGTTATCGCTCTGAGGAGGCGCTGTCAACATCGCTTCTGTCAACTCTCTCCGTGCTTAACCTCACTTTGTTTTGACGCTCTGTTGTATCCCAGCTTTTAGAAATGGTGATTATTTAAATCTTGCTGTATAATTTGAATCAGCTGCTATTTCGAGGCTACAGGTAAAGATAGTTATTACCGTTTATAGATTCGATATTATTATTGAATATTTTTAGGGTAGAGTTACGGATGTCCCAACTTGTATTTGTATTTTGCTGGCACGGTGGCGTCCCTTTTCTTTTGTCCTCCAGAATATCACATGGAAGAAAGGACAGGTTGTTTATTATTTATTGAGCCCTCGGACGTATTTCGAGGTAGGTTTATTTTGTTTATTAGACCTTGTTTTGTTTTAAACAAGAGTTTCATAATTTTAGGGTCCAAGGTACGGACTGTGTCCAAGGTACGGACTGTGTCCAAGGTACGGACTGTGTCCAAGGTACGGACTGTGTCCAAGGTACGGATAGTGTCTTATGTACGTACATTATCTTATGTACGGATGTCCTGTGGACGAGTGTCCCCAGTAAGAACGATTTTTTCTTACATATAAGTGCCACAGCGTGGATGTAGCTTGAGTCCCATGCTGCTTCGTTCCCAGCTGTAAGCTAGTTAGTTACGGCTGTACCAATTCATGGTGTCCTCATTCTGGCCCCTTTGGTTGTGTTGGACGGCTGAGTACAGAGATGCGAGACCATCTCACGCTGTTACTGTTTAAAGCAGGATTGCATAAAGAACAGCTAAGTGTAGATTTAAGTTATAGTTTTGCATTTAACATTCAAAACATTTACAGTCTTAAACAATAACGTACATCTTAAATAATATCGTATAGACTATGTTGAGTGGTTAGATTGTTAAGAACATTCATGTCGATTTAGTAGTTAAATATAATTTAGATCTTAGGTTTCATTGCATTATGTCTTGTAATAGTATTACTTTTTTATAGATATTATTATTGCACTAACATCATATAAAATATATCAAATTAATTAAAGTAATGCTACATTTCATATATTCTCTTAAACTTTACATGTCTTGTATTTTATCATAGTTGTTTTCATAGATATTTAGTACAACTCTTACCACCACTTTCTTTGACATATAACCACTACATATTCACTAGAACTCTACAATGTCATGTATCAGCAACGAACATCATGAATAAATATAGTCATTAGTTTTAAGTAATATACAACTGTGTTTTCTTTCTCTGTACATGCCTGGCGCCCAATATCTGTATTTTTTTGTTTATTGTTATTGATTAGTTTTCTCTCTAGTGAAATACCTTACCCACGACTGCTCTCCGATGAAAAGCCGCCGTTCGCAATGGTAGTTCTAAAAAAAAGCTACAATAATATATATGCTAAGTTAAAAAAGATCATAACAAAAAAAGAAAATATTTCAAAAAAACATCTTAATCTAGAAATTTGGTTATCCAAAGTGACGGAGTGCATGGCGGACAGGAAAAAGAAATAGTAACATTTGAAAAACTGGCACAAGTCATAAATGAATGCAAAAGTAGCAATTCGATATAACATAATATAAAGGTAAAAGCAAAAAACTACTGGGTCACACAACATTTCAAGCAAAATGTTAAAGAAAGAGACAAACTTTACATACGATGGAAAAAAATACAGAATGATGCTACAGGGAAGATTTAAAAAAAATAAGGAATGAAGTAAATAACTTATACAAAGAAACAGGTAATTCAAGAGGACAAAGAAATAGCAGAAGCATTTAATATTCACTTTACCTAATGTGGGAAAATATTGGCATCACAAATAACAAATAATGTACCAAAATACCTTCCGAGAAGAAATAGTAAAACAAACAATATTTTTAGAACCTACAACCATAAATGAAGTAAAAAATATAATAGTTGGACTTAACAACAACTGCTCACCAGGATTAGATACCATAACAAAGAAAGATATTATGTTGCTATATGATGTAATTGGGAATAAAATGGTAGAAATTATAAATCATATAATAGAAAGTGGTGTGTACCCACAGGAGCTAAAAATAGCTCAGCTTGTACCTATACACAAAAAGGGAGACCAGAATAATATGAACAATTATAGACCCATATCCCTACTTAGTTCTCCAAAATATCAGAAAAAGTCATAAAGTGTAGATTAGTAAATTTCATACAAAATATTTTTAAATTTGATAAAAATCAGTATGGATTTCAGAAAAACAGTAGCACTATGGGAGCAACAGTGGATTTAATGGAATATGTAACCAGCGAAGTTGATAAAAATAAATATGTAGTTACTGTATTTATAGATCTAAAAAAGGCATTTGTTACTGTAGATATTGAATTTTTGTTGAAAAAACTAAATAATTTGGGATTCCGTGAAGTCTGTTATAATTTACTGAAATCATACTCAACTGATAGGCAACAGCTTACTAAAGCAAACAATTGTAAAATTAGTCTAACCACAGTAAAAGTTGGGGTCGCGCAAGAATCAGTACTAGGACCACTACAATATCTACTATATGTACATAATTTAACTTAAATTACATAATTTAAATCTACGTTCCATCACACTAAATTTCGATTATACTTTCATCAGAATATAGTCTCCCAACGTACAACTACAAGCAAAGAGTGATTAAACATCCTCTATCCTCTATATAAAAGGTTTCAGAATAAATCGTAAACCG